TAGCCAAGTAAAACAAGATATAAACAGATTAATATAAGAGATGATAAGCACCCCTCAAGCAGACACAGACAGAAGAAGGAACTCAAACAAAGGAGAGAACCATTTGATGAAGGATATAAACAAAATATAGAATACTTGAAGCAGATCCAAAGAGATTACCAGGAAATTAAAAACTCTATGGAAAGATGGCAAATCTGCTTGAAAGAAACTAAGGATAGATTATCCAAAATGGAGGACAGTTTTGCAATGTGGGATTATGAAAGGGAAAACTTTTTAAAAATAACAAGGAAACAAGCAGTAACAATACAAAGGCTAGAAGACGACAAGAGGATCTATAACTTGAGAATAAAGACTGTGAATGAAGAAGCAGGGGTACACACAAAGGAACCACAAAGGTTATTCACAGAAATAATTAAGAAAAACTTCCCAAACATAGGAAAAGGAAATGATATTCTGATGTATGAGGCATACAGAACTCCAGCCACCTACAACCAAAACAGAGCTACAACCAGGCATATAATAATCAAGATCCCAGAAATTCAATATAAGAACAGAATATTAAAAGCTGTTAGAGACAAGAAACAGATAACCTATAAAGGAAGGCCCATCAGAATAATGGCAGACTTCTTGATACAAACCATCAAGTCAAGAAGAGCCTGGAGTGAAATATTCCAAGCCTTGAAAGAAAATAACCTCCATCCCAGATTGACATGGAACACTGTTATGGTGCCCTTCCTGAACATGTGACCATGGAGACAGGAATCCCCCAGCTCCATGGTGAGGACTGTTCCTGTCCAGATCTCCACTGTGAGCATTCTTGAGGAAGGTTCTGGAGGAAAACCCAGCGTGCAAGTACTGAGATCCATGCAGGCTCCAAAACCCATAACATGGGGACAACTGAAGAAGACAACACCGGAGGCCTGCATTCCCATGACATGACAGGCCCTTCCACAAACTCCTGAGAATATTGTTTGTTGCTATCAGGGCCAGTATAGCCTGTACACTGTTTCAACTGTGCAATTACAGAAAGGGGGACCACAAATTCACAATGGCTACTTTTACATTCTTCCCTCAGGGAAGTATAGAGGCTTGGGATGTTTGGTGTCATCTTTTTTCCTGATTTCCCACTATCCCATGGGGATGGACTATCTTCTTCCACTAAGACTAAAATGAAGGCTAAGGCTAAGACTAAGACTACCAAGACTAATGGCAGTCTTTAGCTTTAGCTATGCAAGATCCTTCTTTGCATAAGACAACCTCTGCTCTCTAAGTCATTGATAATGCCCTCGTCAACCAATAAATGCCAAAGTTCTGGCTGCATCGTCTGTTGCTCTTTGTGAACAACTAGCCCAGATCTCTGTTATATTGCCACTTTCTCGTGTTCTTTCTGTCTCTCTTGACATGCACTGTAACATCTCACAGGAGACTGGAGGCTCACTGTGCTGTGCTCTGACAAGTGTGAACATTGTTGTTAGTGGTTTTTGCTTTGCTTTGTTCGAGTTTTCTTTCTCTCGTTTTCTTCATGAATTTCCCAAAGCTTGAATAATCTCTTTGACCTTCAGCCTTGTTTCTAATCTCTTTCTTTTCCTTTATTTCTCCATTTTTCCTTGTATCCCTTTAAAATTCTTTCCCAAGGGCAAAATTGCTCTGTGGATTTTTACTCTATATATCTTTCTGATTGGTTTTAGATTTTGTTACATAACTGTAAAGCTTCTACTTATGGTTAAAATGGCAAATTAATAGTTACCACATTTATCATTTTCTGGACTGTCTTGATGCTGTTATTGCTGGTCATACCACTTTAGCCAAGGTGAAACAGTTGTTGTGATCAGTCATTCCTCCTTGTATGCCAGTATCTTGCCATACTGAGATTGTCTGGGAGGGGGGTGGGGGTCATAAATAATACCTTAGTAGAGTACCAAAGAACTGGGTGGTAGGTCAGACACATACCAACCTTTAATCCCTATAAATAAAAAAGGCAGGATCTTCAGGCAGATCCACAAGCCACAAGCCAGCTATGTGAGGAAGACATCTCTGAAAAGTAACCATTTCCTAAAGAGATCCAGGTATTAGTAACATAGCTACCTACCAAAACAATTTAAAAACATCAATGCAGGAAACAAATTTTAAAAAATGGAAAATGAGAAAACATGGAAGCAAGATACAACTCTATACCTTGACTTTACCCAAGCCAAATCCAGGGGGTACTGAGGTAGAAGAAATCAAAAGGCACCCAGCTGGGCGTTCTTAAATGGTAGCACCAAATATAGCAAAGCAGATGAATGAAAAAGCCATATCAGAAGTAACTGTAGTTTACTAAACAAATGATCATAATGAAGGACAAACTTAGTGGATCTAACATATAAAGATTTTTTAAAAAATGATGAATTTAGGAAAGTGACAGAAACCATGAATGCCCAACATAGGAAAGAACTAGATTCCATCAAACTTTTACTTATATAAAAATGAAAGTGCAAAATGAAAAACAAGCACAGAACATAAATACGATGTCTCAAAATTCTATAAATGTGGTTAAAATTAAATAAATGATTGAGCAGGCCACTCACAGAATATAAATGGCCAGGCTATGTAATTTAAAAAATAAAAACTAAAAGAAAAAGTTTTGCTGATCAAGTTAGTCAAGTTCCTTTAAGAAATGCTGATGTACCCTTGGTGAGTGTGAGCTTGCACCTTTGCAAAGGACTGTCTGGCATTGTGGATCAAGCACTTTAATATATGAGGCAGAATCTGCAAACTTGAAATACCATTTAATGTTTCTGCATCCTCCTGTAACAACAAACAACTCCTCTGAGTGTTTTTTTGGGAAAACTCCTTTCCAAGAGTAACTGTGAAAGTCTGAAGTGCAATAACAGGAAATGTTTGTGGCACATGCCCACCTTCTCGGTGACGGATTCAGTGGAAAGCTCTGCTCAGGGCTGAGGCATTCAGAATCTGTCTAAAGCGGAACATGGTCTTTCTTCCTACTCCTTTCTGTCCCGTTGTCCCTTCCCTTCTCTTCTCCTTCAACTCCACAGCTCACTGGCCACTGTATTACTGGATAAGACCATGCCGTTCCCTTTAAGCTCAGGGCTGTGCCACCTTATTTGGCCAACACAGCGAGGGAGGTGATGTGTACCACCGAATCTGGGCCGAATCTGAACAGCTGCTGGTTGTCTGCCAGCCATTCTTCTTTGCAATGCGACCCGCTGTACTTCTATAGAGGAAGCTTCATCAGGCTGGACCTTGGTGTGAGGATAATGTGGAGGGGTCATAGAAACATAGATGCATAGTTTGAATGAAAAATACACCTGCCTTATGTAAAGGCGTTGAGAAATTGCTATCATAGTTTATCCCAGGCAATCCTGTCAGGCAGGACTGCCAACGAGCTTAAATTGGAATGTTAGTTCTGCCAAAGACTATTCAAATCCAGGAATGCTTTTACTTTGGAACTTAGATTTGGTTTCTGTAAAATGGAATTATGGTATCTAGTTTGTTGGGTCACGGTGAGGATGAAATGACTTAAAAGATTAAACAAATTGTTATTTGTGAAGGTCTTAGAATAATACCTAGCAAATATTTAAGTTTGATACTATTAGTGTCCATTAAACAAAGATATTTGTGTGTATGTGTGTGTAAGTAAAACACAACGAAGTGTTAACACATTGAATTAAATTTTTTTTGGCAGGGTTTACATTTTTTCTTTTCATTTAGCCACATCTTCTAGCTGTTCTACAACAAAACATTTCTTAAGTAACTAAAAACTTCTATCAAAAAGCCCCAAACCATTTTGCTAGCTTTTCAAAGGTTGTAACTTTAAAACATATTGTTTTTTTTAATGATTTCTTTACTGTGATAACTTCTCAGGCACATAGCTAGAAATTCCTTATGAAAATCAACAGAAAAACTGGTTTCAGTATGTGCAATTCTAGGTACAGCAATTTTCTGAACCATGAAGTGGGCAACGCCTGCAGCAAAACTCTTTAGCCTGTGACTAGGTAATCATGCATGTGTGTGCCCTGAATATGGCTTGATTTCCAATATGACTGAAATTTAAGTAAAGATATAAAGTAGTTTATCCATCGATAATCACTCCCCTGGTTCTCTGAGTCAGTCTCAAGGCAAGGAAAGAGTCTGGTTTCTACCAGATTTAGATCTTGCAAGGGGCACAGCCTCCCCAGGCCACTCACTGAGATTCCTCTCCCACAAGGGTCTTCCTGCTGCCTGCACCCAGCCCCCTTTATGGGTGCTGGCTGGGGGGACACTTGGGAGAGATTCACAAGACCCCACAGCAAGCACAACACCTTTGGATTCGCAGCTGCCTGGAGAGCAAGGGCCTTTTCTCCCCTGCTCTGCTGTGATGTGGGCTGCTCTGGGTACTGGGAACTGCAAGAAAAAAGGCTCGGCATTTGCAGCGCACACACCACCAAACAATAAATGATAAATGAAATAAACCCTCTACACTGAAAGTTACAAAATACTGTTGAAATTTCAGGAGAACTAAATACATGGAAAGATCCATTCAAAAGTTCAATATTGATCTAAAGTGAAAATAGTAAAAATCCTAGCAGTAGTTTTTTCTCTGAGGAGGGAGAATTAAAAGCTAATTCTAAGGTTTATGTAAAAATACAAAGAATCTAGTATAGTCAAAACAATCTAGAGAATGGAAAATGAAAATTGGAAGACAAACGGCCTGATGTTTGGATTTTCTGTAAAGTTTTCACAATCAAGACAGGCAGATTAATGCAACAGACCAAAGATTTAGGAATAGACTCATAATACCACCAAATTGGTTTTTACCTGTGTAAGTCAATTGAAAGGGTGAGGGAAAAGATTTTTAAATGATAGTGCTGAAATTATATATTCCTTAATGATTTGTGGAAGATCATAGACCTAAATATAAAAAGGTAGAACAACAAAACAAAACAAAACAAAACAAAACAAACAAACAAACAAAAAAAAAGGTAGGGCCATAAAATTTTATACACACACACAAGGAGAAATCTTCCTAACCTTAGGATAGGTAGATTTATTAGAAAGGACACAGAAAATTGGTACCATATAAGTAGAAAGATAAATCTGATCAAAATCAGAATATTCATTGTGAAAATAAATAGAAGTCACAGGCTTGGAAAATATTCTCAATACAGGTATTTTACAATACATAGCAAATATTATATATTTTATTTTGGTGGTGGTTGTGTGGGTATATACAGACGCCAAATGTTTTCAAATAAAATGCTTAAAAATTTATTACTATGTAGTACATAAATTATAACTCAATTTAAAAAATACTTTGTAAGAAAACATGTTGTATCTATGGACACAAATGATCAAAATTCTCAGGGATAATGGCTAATTATTTTCTTAAACTTTAAAGAGATAAGACTACCAAGTCTCCCTCCCATACTGCCCTATAGTCATTCTTCTATTTTAACTCATGAAGATGAGCAAATTCTCATCTTCTTATGACAAGTGTCCTCTAGGAATTGGAAATATCAAAACCAGTGAAATCCTAAATGGAATAATGTAGGACATACAAAATTAAGTAAGCATGTGAGAGAGGATGTCTTATCTCTAACAATGCTAGTTGGTAAAACAGGTGAATGTGGGCAGAAAAAATTATTCAAACAAGGTTTTGTATCTTCAGAAAAATGTAGGCTAGATTCCCTTTTGCGCGCGCGCGCGCGCGGGGGGGGGGTGTTTCTGGGGATTGAACTCACCACCTCGTGCTTGCAAGGCAGGCACTTATGTCACTCAGCTAAATCCCCAGCCCCTAGGCTAGATTCTTAAAGACACTGAGATTCAAGATTATCTTTATAAATTTGAAATACGTAATCAGTGTATTTACTATTTAGTTAGAATTTATGTCCAAATTCCACATTCCCATAGGGCAAAAATTATCTCTTTACATAAAAGAAAACACAGATGATTTCATTTGATACTTGCTAGTAAAATGCTATACAGAAGTTCTACTAGCCCAGCTCAAAAATAACCACGCTACACCCCTCTGGACTTTAACAGAAAAAGTACAATTATTAAAAGTATAAAACACTCAAAATTCCCACTGAGTTTAATTTCAGTCTCCACACGTGAATATCTCAGTGATTACAAAACAAAAACTGCAAGTATATTATGTGGGATTGAACAACGTGTTGACAAGATCAGGAAAAGCTAACGAATTGAGAAGAAACTGCTTTTCCAGTGCTGGGCCCTCCACTGGTGTCATTCTTTCGGCAGCCGAGATTTCGGGTGTTCTCGGTGTGGAAACCGCAGGCAGCTCTAATCCCCGCCTAACAACATTTCCGATAGGCTGCAGGCCGCCTTTTTTCCCCGGTGCTCCCGTCCCAAGCACAGCGCGCTCCGGATGGCCAGCGCGGCCTCCAGTCATGCCAAGACCCTCACGGAAGCCTCCGGGCCTTCACCCCGAGGTCTCAGGCGCGGCCCCAGACGTGCGCCTGGCTTCCTACACGGGGACCCCCACTATCATGTTGTTTTTGGGAGAGCAGCTCTCCGGCTCCATGGATATCACTTGAACAGTGTAGCCATGCTCTCCTGCCGCTCTGGCACGGTCCAGATCCACCAGGCACATGCACTGTTTTCCTGAAACACAGGCAGATGGTATCACCAGACGCTCCTCCGCCACCAGGGCAATTTCAGTCTGCCTAAGGATGTCTGACTACGCCGAGACCGAAGCCCACGGGATGTGGACACTGTTGTTTACCCCAGTCCTTCCGTTCAGCTGCCTTGTTCAGTTCTTGCCCCATACGGAGAAGGCGATTATAAACACACAACACGTCTCAGATGTATCTGTGCTCATAAAGAACGTTAACCTTTTTGACTGTATTTGTAAGTAAATCTCAAATCAGAACTACAGATTCTATTCTCTACTTTGGTTAAAAGCCCTCTAAATACCTCTCCTCTGTGTTCCTATAAAAACACATCACTTACAAACTTGTGGAAAAAAATCTTGTCCTTGAGAATATCTAAAGTAACCTGCTGACAAAGAGCTATCTGAAAGACGTTTTCCACCTGGAGTTTGCCTGGCCTATGAAGAAATAAGAAATGGAAAGTATCTGAGGAAATTCTAAAACATGTGATAATTATTTCAGGTGGACAGGTAATGCCAAGTGTAATATACTCTTCTTTGCAGAACTCCCCCATTCCTATAAAATAGTGATGCTTACATGTTGTGCAATCTTTCAGAAATGAAACAGGACACCTGGCTAGCAAGTAAAGCAGTTACTTTGTTTTCCCTTGGCAAACATGAGCATCAAACTTGAAAAGTAGCTCAGGAAAAGAAAGATAGGACTTGGGCCTGAATATGCAGAGGTGTGGCTTACTTTATACCTTCAATTGCTCTAAATTCAACACAGTCTCATCTTTTTGGAAAAGGTTACCAACTATGCAGAGCTTCATGCATCTGATTTTCTCTCAATAATTATTATAATGTCTAAACATTTTAAATACAGTAATTTGAGTGGAAATACAGTAATTACAGTGGAAACTGCTATTCTAAACTGTTTTTGGAAGTGAAGACAGATAAATGAAACAAAACTTTTGTGGAGGACAGAATCCTCATAGAATTAAAAAAAAAAAACACTGTTCAAGGTGAACTCAGGAGGCGAGAACTGGCAGACTCAGATGTAAACGATGTTATGCATGTGCTTAAAGGACTGTGCCATACAGAGCAAGCTGCATTAGAATCCACGCTATGCAAGATGTCTACAATTCCACTGAAGCAAAATCACCTCCTCTTTATCAATAGTTACCTGGCTGATGTTCTTTTTCCCTCAAAATGTCCTTATTCAAGACATGTGCAAATGTTCCGGCACTGCCTGCTCCCATGAAGGGAACAGTCTGCCTGAGTGGGATGCTCGGCATTCCGTCGCGCCCCACCCCGGGCTTGTATTTCAGCTCATTTACTCTTGGCTTCCATCCCAGTCTGGTTATTTTTTCTTTTACATTATGTATGACAACTCGTGTTTTCACATGCTTAAGTGTTATCACAACTAAAATTCTGCTGTTATTAGTCTACCTTTGGAGGCCTGGAAGACTTTCTAAAATGTACTCATGGAACACAGAAACAGCACAGGCAGAGACGCAGGCTCCAATGGAATCCACACTCTGATGCAATCTGATGGAACTAATCCCCACCTCCGGGGAGCAGTCTGGCCCAACTGGCTTCCTCCTGGCCTGTGGCAACCTCCCCTCAGTGCCTCCTCTCCAGCTCCACGCTGAGCGCTCAACCTCCATCCCCGTGCAGTACCTGTGACTCCACTGAGCTGTGAGGCTGGATTGTGTCCCTAGACACCATGTCGGGAACTCAAGCCCCACTCAACAGTGTTGGGAAGTGCCCCAAGGAGAGGGAAGCAGGCCGTGAGCACTGAGTGGGTGGCTCGTTGTCACGGGTAGGCTCTTCATAGGACAAGTTTGTCCCTCCTCACATCTGTCTCTTCTCTCTCCCAAGTTAAGGTGGCGTGAAGCCTCACCAGATGCTGCCCTCAGATCCCCTGGCCTCCATGCCTGTTCCTCAGCCTGTGGTCCTCTGCCACAGCACCAGGGTATACTGAGCCACAGGCCCGCTGGAGCTACCCCCGAGGTCCATGGCATTCACTCCGGGAGAGGTGAGCTGCTCACCACTTCGAGGCCTGTGTGTGAACGCCTGGCCACACTAACTTTGCCTTAAAAGTATACAGTTAATTGTTTCATATGCGCCATGGCTCTGAATGCAAACTGATGCTTATTCTGTGCTCAGCCAACCAACAGTCTGCTTTCTGGGGCCCTCTGGATGACAGTGGTAGCTGGGATTCTGGAGGACGCGGGACAAGGTCCTACGAGGGGCGTCTCTGAGTAATTCTCCAGACTCATGTGGTTTTACCCATTGACCTTCAGCCCTGATTCTAGAAACTTAGCTTCTAGGGGGACCCCAGTGTGCTGAGCAGCAGTCCTGCAGGAGCGAGCACGAGCTTCAGGTCTAGAATCAGATCACCTGCGCTCACGGTGCACCTCTATCACCTGCCACAGGAGGAGCCTCAGGTAAACTCAGGTCTGCTTCTTTCATCATCAAAGCGTGGCAGTGTGCTCCCCATAAGCACGTTCGTGCGTGTTTACTGAGATACTAGGTGAGGGCGTGTAACTTAGTGTCCAAATGCAGTCTGGATTATTTTCTAAATGTGATTTCGTTTTCCTGAAGTCTTTCATAAATCAAAACTTCATAAATCTGAAATACTTCTGTTTTTCTCATGTAAGCAGTACTTAATATTGTGAATGTTGACTATATTTGTCTTGATACATAATTTTTTTTCTGAGAAACACGACCCTTGTTTATACTTTTTTTTTACATGGATTTTGGCATGTGCATGGACTTTCCTATCTTTATTAATGTCTTTTGTGCCTTTTGACAGATCCTATAGCTGGTTCATAACAATAAGAAAGCTATTCTCGTCAGTATGCAAGTACTGAAAATGTATCCAAAGATAACAACCCAAATGGGATGAAATGTTACTATAATTACAAGGCTGTCTTTAACATGGAGTAAGTTTCCCGGGAAGAGCAAACTCCTGTCTCTTGTTGATCCATGAACCAGTGCTGCCCAGCCAGACTCACCTACCCACCGAGGCAGCGTGCCTGGCCCTGCAGCAGCTGCCCCGTGAGAACACGCACCTATGAGCCTCCGCTGGGGCGGGAGCTGGACCGCTGTCTGATCTGCAAACCTGCAGAGAATCATGTGTTCCTAAAAGAAAAGGCAATGGAATACAGGCTTATTTTAATCTTCTGCTTTAAAGTTGTAAAAACAAACAAAAACCAAAAGGAAAAGAAAAAACCTACCTCATTTTTTCTGAAGTTCAACTGAGTAAAATACAAGACAGATAGTACTTCTGGAAAAAGCAAAGTCTGAGAAAATGGTACCCATTTTCAGTATTTCAGGGTTATGAAGTTCTGAGTTATGGAAGACTTCCCTTTGCACACACTGCTCTTCAGATGCAGCGCTTAAGAACAGACACACAGGGGATCCGCAGGGTTTGCCCCACTATTTTTGCCAAAATGGACCAAAATATTTTATGGCTACTATGTGTTCAATTAGAAGACCAACAGCTCACTTACATTTCTGCCTTTATAAAATCTACTTGACTCTCCTGACCCCGGCTCCTGTATCACCCATGGGAAAGGACGCCATGCATCTCGACACCTGTGGCTCTGGGGCTCCTTGGACACTGGAGAGTGCTGGGCGCCCTGGGCTTCCTCCAGCCTCCTGCACCTGGTCCCTTCGAGAGGGCAGCCTGGTGCTCTCGCCCTCACTGCCACGGCTCCGAACGGCCCATCCCTTTCCACTGTAAGACAGCCAGCCCCAAAGGAGACCTGAGCAAAGGGAAGGCCGATTCTTACTTCTGCCTGTCAGTTTTAGGAGTATTTCTTTAATGGAGGGAGAAAGGCTTTAAAGGATGAGAGTTGATCTTAAATCTGCAAACAGCCCAAGGAGCACGGTTAGGCACAGCTGCAAAGACTGCAAGGCTCCTGGACACCACTCATTCGGAACAGCTGTGGGTCCCAAGGGTGCAGGTAACAGCACCTGTAGGCTCGGCAAACTGGTGGAACTCAAATTTGTCATTCATCCTCAGCATGTTGGCGTGAAAATTTCAGCCTCCATTTTTACAAGTAAGGTAAGAGATATAATTGTGTCAATTTTAAAAGTGGGGATGCATTTGCCTCAACTTTCATGCATTTAAAGAACTGTCATGCTTACTGTAAAATACAATGGCAGGGGGTAGGGAACTAATGAAATGATTTGAATGAATAACTTTTACTACATTCCCACAGATTAATTGGCATCAATAAGGAGACAGAAGAACTTAGAATAATGCGATCTGAAGAAAAGGCAAATACAAGCAAGCAAGTCCTCCGTCTTTGTGTTTCTAAACCAAGATTCACCATTGATAGGGAAGTCAATCACGACCTCAGGTGGATGTGGTTCTCTTATTTATAGTTTTTTTTTCTGGGAGGGCACCTTACACAGCAGGTACTCAGCAACAATCTCTGGCTAAATTTCACTTTAGAGAAAAACATTTTCCAAATGTTTTTCAAAACTATCTGGGCCTTACATCCCTTTCATTCTACCCACCAGGCCACACATTCTGATGCAGATAAAAGCAGCTAATCAAGCATGAGGTGTCACCTTGACACAGCACCCAGGGAAGACTTCCTGCAGCGGCAGGGGCCTAACAGCTTTGGGGAGCAGGGGAGGAGGAGGCATCAGTGGGGACCCTCGAGAGCATCTGCTCCCTGGAGCAGTCTGTGAGCCCCACGTCTACTCCTGCGGAATTTTACACCTTTTTCCAGACAGTGAGACTGTGGCTCACCTCCTCGCTATCCCCATTCTTTCTCTAGCAGTGCTTTAGGAGAGAATGAAAAAGAAGGATCCAGGCAGAGCTGTGTGAGAGAAAGTGGAGGTACTGTATTGCAAATCAGATGCAAATAAAAGTTGCCGGAGACCTAATGTTTCTCTCCAAATCTTAAATTTGCTAGGATGTGGCAGTATTTAATCTGACAGTGATATGCAGCATATTCATGAGGAGGGAGAGGTGGAGGAAGGCCTGGCTGGGGTGTCCCTTCGGAAGGAGGAAGAGCGAAGTGGGTAGAGCCACTGAGGTGTTCGGAAGAACGCGCTGCGGTGCTGTACTTCACAAGCTCACTGTCAGGCGGGGAACACCAAATTCCTAGAATGTAGGGGCTGGTCTAAACCGAAAGTCTGCAGAAACTGGGAGTCACTGAAATAAAAATCCAAACTAATTTATCATGTTTCAGTGGGATTGTTCACGATTTCTCTGGAGGGTTATGACTCCACCCCATCATCACAGGCAGCCTTGGCTCCAGACTAGGGCTGGCAATCTATGGGGCAGGACCTGGGACCTGCTTGGGAGTGGCCTGCAAGTTCATACAGTTTTTATACTTTAAGAAGGTTCTAAGCTGACAACAATGACAAGGACAGTGAAGAAGATAAAAGAGGTTTGTTTGTGGCCAGCAAAGTCTGAAGTGTTTGTTATCTGCCACTTTACAGAAGAATTTTTCTCTATTCATGATTATCTTTCAAGCTTGGTTTTGAGTGAGCACCTTGAAAGACACACAGCCTCCCTGCAGGGCCAGCCCACCTGTACTTGCTGCATGGGCACTGGCCTCTGCTCACTGCTGGGGCTCAAGACTGCCTTTCTTTTCAGAGTCAGGCCTCTGAAACGTTCTGCCAGCATCCAGCAGGGTGCAGTAACTCGTTAGCCTGAAAGGAGGGTGACTGCTGTGGCCCCTCACCAGCTCTGTCAACACGGCAGGCGCTCATCTGGGTGGGTCAGAGCAGCGAGGGCCCTGTGAGATGTGCACAGGCATGCACACATGCACGTCGGGCACACGCTCCATCAGACACTTGGGGGGAAACGTAAGAACAGGACGGAGTATATGAGGAGGACATCCAGAGCTTTTTCAGGTTACCTTGTATGATAACGTTTTCTTGAACTGTTCACTGAAATGGAAAAGAAAATAGAATTAGTCATCATTCTAAAAATGAAGCACATCAAATAAATGGATATACATATGTGTATATTATGCCTGAAGAATACAACATGCAATTTGAAACATGTGAAAAGAGAAAAGCACACAATCAGTGTCACTAACTTGGAAGTGTGTCTTTCACAGACTGTTTACTGTTAAGAGGAGTGTGGCCATTATTTTTCCCCCTGTCCTCATAGGGACAATGGACTCTGGTGCAGCCCTGTGGGAGTCAGATCATCCCCAAGAGGTGGTGAGGCCAAGGGACCAGGGCCTGCAAAGAGGCCCAGCTCCTCTGTGCTCCAGGGAAGGGCGGCCACGCAAGCCACGCCTGGTGCTGGCCAGTGAGGACAGTGGCAGGGACACGGCGGGGGGGAGGCAGGCTTAGTGGTTTGGTGACTGGAGGCGAGAGGGTCCCCACGATGCCCAGGCAGGGGTTAGTGGTCTGGAAGCGTAAGATGGGATGAAGCAGGGGTTGGGGGAAGAGCTCTGGAGTACTTGGTTTGCAGATGAAAAAGTCACACTCGCCAGCAAGTTATTTAGCCAGATGTCAAAACATCAGAAAACAAAAAGGTGCAAGGGTACCAGAAGACCAGCACTGTCACAGCTCCTCAAGGCAAGCACACGTCCCATGAGCACTCTCTAGGGACTGCTCTGGCCCTCACTCTTAACTGCAGCATTCAAGAATACACACCCGTACATACTGAATTTATTTACACCAACTATCTTGTTGGAATGAGCACTTGTTATGACGTTTTAGAAATGCTTTAGCAATTCCTGACTCTCATCCTTGGTGATTGAGGGAGGTCTAACACACGCACAAAAATCAACATTCTAAAGACATTCGTTCCCAGGGAGGGAAATATCAGCAAATCAACAGGGACATGAAGAAGTCGAAACTAAATCAAGACATTTAAATCAGTTAAGTGAGAGACTGAAAAGTGAACTTAGCGTTTTTTAGAATTTTTATAGAGTTAGATCTAAAATTTTCTTAGGAAGATACAAAAATATATAGTTTATCAGTATAGATTTAGAATGAGATTTTGATGGTAGAATTCAGCCTTAAATTATATTTTATTGTTTGCTTTTTAATAGTTCTTTTTTTCTCAACTAGTTATGAATTATTATAAGGACAAAACAAAAAGATGGCTACTATTTACATTTTATTTTACTTATACGGAACCTTGAAGTATGTATTCTAAAGGAAATCTTTTGAAGTATCCTAGATTTAATGTGACTGATCGAGATTTTTGAACATGCTATAGGGCAGCCTTTCAAAGCTAACATGGGTTAATCAGCAGAAGCAGCTGTCAGCAGGTGCAGCCTCGCCAGAGGAAGCAGGCCACTGGGAGCAACCCTTGGGCAGGTGGGCCCTGTGCTGGCCCCTCCCCCTGCCCTGCTCCCTGACCACTCCAGCCAGGACAACAGCCAACTGACCATGGGCTGAAATCCTCTAAACCCTCAGCCCAAATGGATCTTTCCTCCTTTCAACTGTTTCTCTCAGGTGCCTTGTCTCCTGAAGGAAAGCTAACACAGTACTACTTAACATGTTATTGCTCCTACTGTTAGAGCAACAGTTCACATTATTGAGTGCTTTCTCTAGTCCACTTGTAAGCAGTACATATGTCATTATAAAAATTGTTACTACTGTACATTGTTACTATTTTAACCTTTACTTTAAATGAGAAAACACAGGCAGAAAAGAAATAAGTAACTTGCCTGTGTTTAAGCAACTTGTACAATGAGAAGCAATCAGCATTTGCCCCTGGGAAATACCTCTGTGTCCTGGACACGTCCCTGTTGTACTCTACTGCTTCTTAAAAGTGATGGTTTTAATTTTACTTAGAAGACTCAGACCTCTAGACGGACTCACTCGACAGCCAGAGCTGGAGCAGGGGAGGGTCAGGACAGACATGGAGGAGATGCTCTTCCCATGCATTTATAAACAGTACTCGGCACTGGGGAAGGAGTCAGTGGCCTCAGAATGAGACCTCCTTGTAACTTTTTTGTATGCTGGTGTCTTAGATAAGAGTGTTAGAGTTCACCTTTTTGGAAAATTAAACTTCGAGGTGTTCTGAATGAAGCCGTAACAACAGGGGCAGGTGACAAAGGAAGCACGGGTTTTGATGCAGTGTTCAATCACCATGTCTGTTGCCACGCCACAAGCGTGCAAGGCCACCTGGAAGATAAAACCAGACCTTCGTGTTACGTCCTTTAGCCAACAGGGCAACTTCTGCACCTTTTTAAAAAAATTTGTGACCCATTTCCAGGAGATTGCAAATTACCTGAGTATCATTTCTCATTAGTTTAAATAGTCCTTATTTGGACACACTGAAAGGTTACTTAGCTATTCATATTAAGAAAAGTAAGCCAGGTTGAGGGCTGAAAAGGAATATTGTAAATAAACCTTAAGTCACTCAATGAGAAACGCAATGCAGTGTTAGCTGTGGAAACAGAACACACTTGGGGAGCTCTGGTAGCACTCTGGCTAATTATTTCAGTGTAGCTGTAGCACTATACGAAGAGCAATAAAACTGAAATGGAGATTTCTAGTCTAGAATTCCAGTTTGCTGTAGCCCTCGGGCTCCTTGGAGTTTAACTACTTCAGGCCTTTTTTCAACTGGAAATTATAGCTAACAATTCTTTTGCAAAAGTGAAATAAAAATGTATATGGAAGCACTTCGATAATTCTGCATGAATATGACAATATAAAAATGGTAAAGTCATCTTCATGTAGCACCATTCTAGGCGTACACAGTATTTTCACATAATAATCTTTACCACTGAATGATGAGTTGCATAACTACTGTCAAGGGGTCACTTTAAAAGGAAAGACTGATGGGCTGGAGATTTAGCTCAGCAGCATAAGCGCCTGTTTTGCAAGCAGGCAGTCGTGAGTTCGATCCCCGGTACCGATAAAAAGGAAAAAGACAAAAAAAAAAAAAAAAAAAAAAAAAAAAAAAAAAAAAAAGAAAAGGAAAGACTGAAACTATTCATTAGAATAATGCACAGAGCAGCAATAACTCATAAATGTAACTTAGAAATAATCCTAAAGTGTTTTCAAAGCACACATCCTTATATGTATTTATACTTATTATAATCTAAAATACATAGTTATGAAAATTATCAGGCTAAATAAGCCAAACTGGGACTCTATGAAGAAAAATCAGAGGTGGGGAACATCTGCAGAAAAATGTTCAGATCTCAAATTCATTTGAGACAGAGACAAATTATACTGACCATTATTTTTCTCTTCTAGGCAGGGGCTCTCAGACTGAAGAAGTTTCCTGGAAGCTTGTGTATGGTAAAGTATTCAAGGTTTGCATTCAAAAGCTAAAAGCAATACTCTACTTAAAAGAGAGGACAGCCCTCTCAGCCCTGGTGAATCCTCCCTGCCTTGAGGACTGGCACGGGCCACAGAGAACTCAGTCCCCACCCCGGTGGCCATCACCGGAAACCTCTGGAAGCGCCATTCAGCGAGGGCAGCATGACAGCTGGGGAGTGGGGATAAAGATCCTGCTTTCCACAGCCACCTTAATTAGGCAGCTTTGCAGAGTAAAGAGTAAGGCTGATTTTATTTTCAGAAGGAGGGGAGAAAATCTCATGTTAATAGTTTTGAATGCAAAACTATTTGCAAGGGAGCCAGAGCTAGACAGACACTGGCCAGGTGCCCCTGCGCAGGCACTGTGCCGGGATGGCACACCAGTCACCCACACTCGCCACCACCCTGAAAGAGTATACGACCCACAGTTTACAAGGCAGGAAACGACAGCATGGAGAAAATGAGAACTCGCTCACAATGAACAGTTACTTGCGCACAATTCCATCAGGATGCTTCTGGCTCCGATTGGGAAAAGTTCAGACAACTGATTTGCTACATATAGAAGAATTAATTTCTTTGTCTTAACTCAAAATATTTACTTGATGGATTTTAGATGTAAAGTATTTTACTGCTTCCCATACTCCTAATTCCTACTGTCATCAAATGTAGGTCAAAAATAATAGACAAGGTGGCTCATGCCTGTAAGCCTACCACTCGGGAGGCTGAGGCAGGAGGATCGTTGCAAGTTCGAGACGAGCCTAGGCTACAGAGTGAGCTCAGGCCAGCCTGAACTGCATAGAGACACCCTGTCTCAAAAAGACAAAACATCAATCAATAAACCAAATAAATACAAAATAATACACAAGTAGTGAAGAAAGATATAAAGGAAAAGAACTATTTGAATATAAAATTTAGCACACAAGAAAAGTAGCATTTCAAACCAGGGAAGAAAATACTAACTTTTCAATAAGAGATGTTGGATTAACCTGATAGCCACAGAAAAATAAAAAGCTAAATGTGCTGTGAGGAGGTAGGCCTTGGGTGGAGGTGGCCCCTGGGGTGTGACCTGGAAGGATGGCCTGGATCCTTATTCCTAGTTCTTCCCTTCTTTCTCTGCTTCCTGGCTACCATGAGTTGAGCAGCTTGACTCTGCCAGGCCCTTCCACCCCTGTTTCTGGCTCTAAACCAGTCAAACATGGACTGAAACCATGACCCCAAATGAATCCCTCCTCCATTAAGCTGGGAGTCTGAGTGGTTTGTCCCCACAACTGGAAAGTGGCTGAGACACACTTTGGTACCAGGAGTGCGGTTGCTCTGTGATTGTACCTGTGTAGGCAGTTTAGAAGCCTTTGGATTGTGGAGGTGTGTGCTAGACAAGTCTTACAATGCTGTGACCAGTGGTGATAGGTGATTCCTGTAAGTTCTCAATGTGGACAGTAAACCCACACTCAGGAAGTTACACTTAGGAAAAAAGACACTACTGGCAATTGGACTAGAAGTCATGTAGGTCACACCCTGGCAGAAAATCTGTCGTCATTTTGCACATGTCCTATGACTCTATGGGAAACCAAGATTAAGAAAGGTAGATTTAATCTGGTGGAAGAAATTTCGAAGCCACCCAGGCTGTAACATGGGTGCTGCTAGTTGCTTTTAGTCAGATCTTCAGTGAGAATCAGGAGCAAAAATAGATGTGAAAAAGTTGCATTTTCATTAGAAAAGACATGCCTGCAAAGTTGTGAGCTTGAAAGGCATGGTTGTTGAATATATTAACATTTTGTTAATAAACTACAAGGATAAAAATATGAGATATAATGATGTGTTAGGCAGAATTATCCTCTAAGTGTCTAATTCCTAAAACCTACAAACAAGGCAAAAAGGATTTTGCAGATGTGATTAAAGTTTGGTCTTCAGAATAACAAGATAATCCTTGGTTACATGGGTGGATTTAGTCTAACTGCACAAGGCCTCAAAAACAGAAGATTTTCTCAGGGAGGAATTTAGATAGATAAGATAGAAGCAGGAAGCATTAGAGGTCTGAGTCACCAAAAGGACTTGGAACCCCACTGCAGGCTTTCATGGTGAGGGAGGCCACAAGCTAAGGAATGTGAATAGCTTCTAAAAGCTGAGAAGGACTCCTGGCTTTCAGCCAGCAGGAACCTTAGTCCCATAACCAATAACCTAAGTAGCCTCAAAATAGCTTCTACTTGAGGACCTTGAGAAAGAGAGTCCAGGCAATATATTGATGTTGGCCTTGTGAGAAGCCAAATGGAAAAACTAGTTAAGAAGATCTAGACTTCTAATCCACAAAACTGTTAGATAATTTGTGTTATTTTAAGATTTCTAGTAGTTTTTGGTAATTTGTCAAACCATAAACAGAAAATGAATTCAGATGAAAGCCTTTAGACTGTATGCTATGTGGCTCACATTAAAACATTTTAATTTCTATGCCTTCTTTCAATAATGATTAAAATAACTATCTAGGGAAATTTGAACTTTTTTTTTTGGCACTGTGGGAATTAGAATCCAAGGCTTCAAGCATGCTAGGCAAATGTTCTACTACAGGGCAGTATCCTGATTTCAAGATTTTATTTTTTACAATAGTTTTAGGTTGACAGTACAACTCAGAAGAAGATAGGCACTTCTTATATACCTTTTATATTCCCCCTTGAGAACAGATTTCCTTATTATCAATAGCCTGGACCACAGTTGAGCATTGTTAAAAGTGGTTGACCTACACTGAGAGACCATTATCACATTAGGTTCCGTCTTGGTGAGGTACATTCCATGGGTTTTGATAAATGTGCACCAGGTGTTCATCCCTCAGTATTAAAGTGTCTTTTCACTGTCCTGAAAATTCTCTGTGCTGCTGCCTACTCATCCCACCCCACCCCACCCCACCCCACTCCTGGCAATAACTGACCTTTTTGTCTCTCAGCTCTGCCTTTCCCAGGAGATCACACAGGCAGAGTTGTTCACTATATAGCCTTTTCCTATTAGCTTCTTTCACTTGGTAGTGTTTGAGATTCCTTCCTGTCTTTTCATGGCATGATGGCGCATATTTGCAGGCTGAATAATAGCCTATCATGGGTGGACTATTTCATCCACTTACCTACTGACAGGCCTCTTGGCTAATCACACAGTTTGCAACTGTGAATAAAGCTGCTATGAACATCTATGTGAATGTTTTGGGTAGATGCAAATTTTAAAGTCCTTTGGGTAAATAACAGGAGCAATTTCTTCAATTGTATGGTACGAGTAGTATGTTTAGTTTTCCAAGAAGCTGCCAAACTGTCTTCCAAAGTGGGCTGTACCATGCTGCATTCCCACTGAAGGGTTATATTACTTCACATTTTTTCCACCATTTGGTGTGGTCAGTGTGCTGGACTTCGGCCCCTCTAATATGTGTATAGCAACCACTTATGATTGTTGCATTTTGCATTTCTCTGATGATATATGATACAGTACTTTTCATATGCTTCTATCTCTGTATTTTCTTTGGTTAGGTATCTGATAAAGTTTGGCCTATTTTTCAGTTGGGTTGTTTCTGACAGCTCAATTTTAAGAGTCCTTCATTTTGGCTGAGAGTCTTTTATCCATTGTTGCATATGTCCTCTTTTCTCCCACGTGGCTTTTGTTTACTTTTTCAGGGACGTCTTTTGAAGAACAAGTTTTTTAACTTTAATGAATTTTTCTTTCTTAGGTAGTCCTTCTGATGGTTGGTAAATCATTACCACATCTAGTGTGTTCAGATTGCTACCATGTTATCTTTTAGAAATTTTATTGGTTTTTTTTTGTTGTTTATTTTATTTTATTTTTATTTTTTGTCTTTTTCGTTTTCATCGGTACCAGGGATCGAA